TTCTTAGAACATGACATGCGTCACTCTTACATGACGATTTTAAATGACATGACACAACGAAAAAATATCAAACATATTTTAAAAATTCATTGACCATTTTATCAAATAATTTATGGTAAATTTTAGAACTTGCTATATATATACTCCTTATTTGTTAAGTTTAAAAGATCGTAATGACTTTAAGTCGAAAGATGGTTATACTAATGGTCGCATGAAAATAATATTAACACTTTAACTTAAACCCATATATTATTCTCATAACGGGTCAATCCAGCAACATATCTAATATGTTTGCCTACGTATAGATTCAGATAACACTTTACCTATAGCCTATGAAACGCAGCTATCTCATCTCATACGTATTAGTCTTGATATATGATGATGTTCGTATTATCATAATATCCGACTAAAGACATTTTAGACGTAGCATCTATCTTTGTAAAAGCATCACAATTACAACGTCGTAGTTCTTATCTATGTTATTGAAGCGCCTACTCTATGGACTAAAGCTATGTTTAAGTCACATGAGACGACTTAAACAATCTTTAGGGCTTATTATTCTTGATATAATATAGATATGGAGTCAGGCCTTTAGGGCTCACTTGTATTCAACATCATTTACCTCACAAATCATTTACTTTTTTTTGTTGGAAATTTTTTTAGTAAATTGGACATTTTCGGACATAAATTCGGTTAGGTCCACAAAATTATTTTCCAAAATAATTATGGACGATTAATCTCATAAGTAAGACGAACGTCTTGATATATGACACGTCATAAACGGTGCTCGGGTGAATGAGAAATTAATTCTCAAAGTTGAATGCTGAGGTAGGGTAAATACCTTTGTCCCACACCGGTTTCTAAACTTTCGTATTCTCCTATTTAAGCTTAGGCATTGAATTGAGCTTATGAAAGGAACAAGAAGTGGAATCCTCGCGCGCCCGCCGCCGTCCGTCCGACTCGGCACGTCACGACACGCGCGCGCGTCGGGGCAGGGCGGGGAGCGTCGCATCGCGTCGCGCCCGCGCCCGCGTCCCTTCGTAATTTCCGTCCAGTCCAAGCGAAGAGCCAACTCCCCTCCTATAAAAGGAGGGGTCGGTTGCAGGGAGAAGATACTAACTCAAAAATCTCTCTCGCTGTCTATGCATTCCAAAAAGTTCCGATAACTCCCCAACTTCGGTCATCTTCTCCGGCAGTAACACCCATCTATGCCGGTGCTAAGCTTGCAAAAGAGCTTTGGAATAGCTTGAACAAGAAGTATCAAGCTGAATATGCCGACACGAAGAAGTTCATTGTCGGGAAGATGCTGGACTACAAGATGGTCGACAGAAAATCTGTTGTCGCCCAAGCTGAAGAGCTTACGGTCATCTTCAATAAATGCAATGAAGAGAAAGTAGGCGTCAGTGAAGAATTCCAAGTGGCAGCCATCATCCAAAAACTTCCTCGGTCGTGGGAAGACTTCCAAGCCGACCTCAAGCTCAAAAGAACGGAGCTGAACTTGGAGCAACTGCTCACGCAGTTAAGGATCTGAGAGGAAGGGCTTGCCAGAAGAGGTGGAGGGGCAAAGGCCAATGTGGTAGAACATCCGTCGGGCTCTTCACATGGCGGAAAGGACAAAAAGAAAATAGGTCCTAAAGGTGGCGTTTCTAAATTTGCAGGAAAGTGCTACAATTGTTGCATTACCGGGCATCGTTCCTCTGATTGTAGGAAAAAGAAGCCACAGAAGAACAAGAAGAAAACAACTGAAGCCATGTGTGCGGAGCTTGACAACTTAGACCTCTGTGTGGTCGTCACCGAGGTGAATCTCGTCGGGTCAAACCCGAGGGAATGGTTTGTGGACACAGGGGCCACACGCCATATTTGCTCAAACAGGAGCATGTTTCATGACTTCCAGGAGACCTCCGGTGACAAGGTCTGGATGGGCAACTCGGCCCAGTCAGAGGTTCAAGGGGTGGGCAAGATTAAGCTCAAAATGACCTCAGGCAAAGAGTTAACGCTTAACAACGTGCTCTATGTGCCAGATATTCGCAAGCATTTAGTGTCAGGGTCATTGCTGATCAAACACGGCTTTCGGATGGTGTTTGAATCAGACAAGCTAATTTTGTCCAAGAAAGGGATTTTTATTGGGAAGGGTTACATTTCTGATGGGCTTGTCAAGCTTAATGTAATGACTGTTCATGAAAAGAACAATAAAAATCCCATTGCTTATGTGTGTGAGTCCTCTAGTTTATGGCATGGTAGACTAGGACATGTTAATTATGCATCTCTTCGGAAATTAATTAACATGGAACACATACCTAAGTTTAGTATTGACTTAACTCACAAGTGCGAAACTTGTGTTGAGGCTAAGTCAACTCGAAGTTCGTTTTAATCGATCGAACGGAACACTCAACCTCTAGAGTTGGTTCACACCGACTTGTGTGATTTTCGAACAACGCCTTCAAGAGGGGGTAATAAGTACTTTATTACCTTCGTCGATGATAGCACGAAATATTGCTATATCTATTTACTAAAAAGTAAAGATGAAGCGTTAGACACTTTTATTCGATATAAGAATGAAGTGGAAAATCAACTCAATCGCAAAATCAAAGCATTGAGAAGCGATAGAGGTGGTGAGTATGATGCTCCACTTAATGAGTTTTGTGCACAGCATGGAATAGTGCATCAAGTAACCCCACCGTATACACCACAGTCTAACGGTGTAGCGGAGCGGAAAAATCGCACTCTGAAAGACATGATGAATGCGATGCTACTTAGTTCTGGGTTACCCCAGAACATGTGGGGGAAGGCTGTTTTATCAAGTAATTATTTACTAAATAAAATACCTCGTAAGAAACTTGACAAAACTCCGTATGAACTTTGGCATAATAGGAAACCTTCCTATAAGTATCTCAAAGTGTGGGGGTGTCTCGCGAAAGTACTTGCACCACCACCAAAGAAGATGAAGATCGGTCCAAAAACAGTTGATGGAATCTTCATCGAGTACAATAGCACGTCGTATCGGTTCTTGGTGTACAAATCAGGTAATCCTGAAATTCACAAGAACACAATCATTGAGTCACGGAATGCAACGTTTTTCGAGCACATTTTTCCGTGCAAGTCAAGTGACGAAGCCAGTTCGCCCAAACGTTCTCATACTGAGATGATGGATAATGATGATCCAAATCAGTTGAATTCCGATGACGATAATGAAGTCGAACATGAGACTGAACTGAGACGAAGTAAAAGAATGCTAACTGAAAAGACGTTCGGTTCTGACTTCATAACATATCTGATAGAATTTGACAAAGGAACTTTGTCATTTCTAATGGAAAATGAACCCGATATTCTAACCTGTTTGGTAGAAAAGGAACCACGAACCTATCACGAGGCCGTAACCTCAACTGAGGGACCTCAGTGGCGAGAAGCCATAAAAAATGAAGTTGATTCTATTCTTCAAAATCACACGTGGGAATTGGTTGATCTCCCTCCGGGGTGTAAACCATTAGGTTCCAAATGGGTCTTTCAGAGGAAAATGAAGCCTGACGGCTCCATTGACAAGTACAAAGCTAGACTTGTGATCAAGGGGTATAGCCAACGCGAGGGCTACGACTACTTTGATACTTACGCGCCTGTGACTAGGATAGATTCTATCAGAATGATCATCGCATTTGCATCCTTACGAAACCTGGATGTTTACCAAATGGATGTAAAGACTGCTTTTCTAAATGGCGAACTAGATGAAGAAATCTATATGGAATAACCCGAGGGGTTTAAGGTTCCGGGCCAAGAAAAGAAGGTCTGCAAACTTGTGAAATCATTATATGGTCTTAAACAAGCGCCAAAAGTATGGCATGATAAGTTTGACGAGGTAATGATGAACAACGGTTTTAAGATAAATGAGTCGGATAAGTGCGTATACTTTAAGGACACATCTGAAGGGTATGTCATTTTATGCCTGTATGTAGACGACATACTCATCCTTGGAAGAACCGATAGGATGGTCAAGTCCACCAAGGACATGTTGAACGCACGATTCGACATGAAAGATTTGGGTCTGGCTGATGTGATTCTTGGAATCAAAATACTAAGAAGACCGGATGGTCTGAGCTTGAGCCAATCCCACTACATTGACAAGATCCTTGAGAAATTCAACAAGGATGATACAAAGATAGCTAAGACGCCGATAGACGTAAATGTTCACTTTGGTAAACACCGAGGGAGTAGCGATTCTCAGACAAAATACGCTAGAGTTATCGGGACTTGCGCCATTAGCAAACTAAGTAGGTATACGAGCAATCCGAGTGCTAAGCACTGGAAGGCCATAGTCCGAGTAATGAGATACCTTCGGTATACTCGAGATTATAGCCTATGCTACGGCAGGTATCCACCCGTGCTGGAAGGATACACTGATGCCAATTGGATTGCGGATAATAAGGATTCAAAATCCAGAAGTGGATTTATCTTTATGCTAGCCGGTGCAGCTGTTTCCTAGAAATCCTCAAAACAAACGTTAATTGCCAGATCCACCATGGAGTCTGAGTTCATAGCACTAGACAAGTGTGCAGAACATGCCGAATGGCTTCGGAAATTACTTGAGGATATTCCAAACTGGGAAATCCAGTTCCTCCTATTTGCATTTACTGTGACTGTCAGTTAGCAACAGGACGAGCTCGGAACAAATTGTATAATGGTAAGTCTAGGCACATTCGCCGAAGACACAAAACCATTAGGCAACTTCTCAATACGGGTATTATCTCAATTGACTATGTCAAGTCAAAGGATAGTTTAGCGGATCCATTAACCAAAGGGTTAACAAATGAGCAACATGAGAAGTTAGTGGTAGGAATGGGTATGAAAGCCCTACCTTGTGCTGGGAACGTTCCATGAAGGAAAACCCAACCTGGGTGGTACCTGGGTTCAATGGGACAACCTACTTGTGGAACGAAGCACGGTCACTGTGGGGGCAAGCCGGATCACCGACTTAACACCCCTCCGTTCCTACTGAGATATAGTGACTCCCGAAAACGATGAGGTTAGCATGGTGCTTTAATGATTCTTGAACTATGGACTACGAGGTCCAAGTGGAGTAATCAGGATACTCTTAGAAGAATCACATATGTAAGAGTGAAGTGCGGTCGCTTCAACAGAAGGATTTCGGGCTGATCCTGTCTAACACTCTCACAGAACCAGATGCGTGTTCCACGACCATAATGGGCACACCCATGAGAACGGAATGATGGTTGGTTGAAACTTGTGTATTGTATATCGTCGTTTACATAAACGGCAGTACAGTTCAAAGACATCACGTTCTACTGAACAGCTAGTAGAGACGGTATACTTTACAAGGAGTAGGTTCAAAGGCATAAAACCTACCTACTCTTGCAGGTTTCAACTTCAGAGTTATTGCCAGTTACATGAATTAATTTTCATTCATGTGGGGGATTGTTGGAAATTTTTTAGTAAATTGGACATTTTCGGACATAAATTCGGTTAGGTCCACAAAATTATTTTCCAAAATAATTATGGACGATTAATCTCATAAGTAAGACGAACGTCTTGATATATGACACGTCATAAACGGTGCTCGGGTGAATGAGAAATTAATTCTCAAAGTTGAATGCTGAGGTAGGGTAAATACCTTTTTTCCACACACCGGTTTCTAAACCTTTCATATTCTCCTATTTAAGCTTAGGCATTGAATTGAGCTTATGAAAGGAACAAGAAGTGGACTCCTCGCGCGCCCGCCGTCGCCGCCGTCCGTCCAGCTCGTCACGACACGACACGACACGCGCGCGTCGCGTCTAGGCGGGGCGGGGCGTGGCGTGGCGCGGCGCATCGCGGCTAATTTTTTACGAGACTGAATTGAACACGCGTGGACACTTCGTGATTAACGAAGTGCCGTCCAAAAGCATGCATGCACAAGGGAGGCGAAGAGGGTGCTGCGTCCCTTCGTAATTTCCGTCCAGTCCAAGCGAAGAGCCAACTCCCCTCCTATAAAAGGAGGGGTCGGTTGCAGGGAGAAGATACTAACTCGAAAATCTTTCTCTGTGTCTCTGCATTCCAAAAAGTTCCGATAACTCCCCAATTCCGGTCATCTTCTCCGGCAGTAACACCCATCGTTCTTGTTCGTCGGTGCACGGCTATACCGCTCTAGGCCTTGCACGAAGTGGTTTTATCCTTGGAGGAGATTGCCCACGTTTGCCAGTGCGGGAGGCGGGCAATACTACCTTAAGGAAAGCTTCGGCGACTCCGCTTTCCTTACCTACGCTTCTAGAAACATCTCCGGCGACCCTTTGTTCTCCGTTCGAGCTCCCGAAGACTCCAAGTTTTATTTTCTTTTATTTTTGTTGTAAAATCCGAACGTTTTATAAGTTCGGATTATTTTATTTTTATTTTCCCACTGTAATATTCAACATTTTTAACATGTCATTTTCACCTTCAATTTTATGCATCCTATTCTAGCCACTGCTTTACGTCTTTCTCTTACATTTACGAAGTATTGTACTCTTTCCATCTTATAAAAAAGTTCGACATTTCTTTTTTATTGTTCAAAAAAATTACTTTTAACTTAAAAAAATTACGGCCATTATAATTTCTCTCAGAGTCTCAGATCTATACTTCTTTCGTTCCAATTTTGATTATAAATTAGGAATTA